TATTTTGAATCATTCTTGTGAAATACAATGGTCAGACGAGCTAAGCATTACTTGTTTGATAACAAGATGTAAGGATCTTTATTAGGATGCTGTTTATTTCTTGTACTATGAGAAAAATGTAGTTTCAGTTCATTTGAGTTCAGGAAGATGGGCTTCTATTTCTTTCATTTGATAAAATAAAAAGAGAAAGAGCAATGTAATTCCAGGCTTTCATTATGAAGGCTTGTGTGCAAACCTCTGACCAATATTTTACATAATCCATGCTAATATGTAGCAAAAGTTTATAGACATGGAAATGAGTTCTTGTGAGGTGCCCTAGTCAAGAGCCAGAAGTTCAATGCTCCCTGTAAACAGCCTGGCTAGCTGTGGATAAATGAGATGCAGAGAAATGCCATAACATCACATTACAGGGAACTGCAAGTGCTTTATCTCGTGACATTATATTGAGGGCCATTACTCATGTCAGCTGTTCAAAACATTACAGCACAACTCTCTTAGCCTTTACCATGCCTGAGTGAAGCGTGACAATTTCAGGCAGTGCAATAGAAGTGAGAAACTTGAACAAATCTGACTGATAGTTCACAAGATTTCAGCATGCATTGCCCTTTGTGCCACGTTCACTAATGCATCCAGAGTGCAGCGCATTAATCGCATTAGGTTATGCATCAGTCCAAATCTACTGCCTCAAAACCCTCTTTTCACAGGAGAGCTTTGGAAAGGGGCTAATGACCTTCTTTAGCTTCATCTAGAAATATTGTCACAAGGCAAAGATTGGTATTATGTGACTATTAGCATCAGAAGTCATTTCCTGATATTACAAATGAGGTTGGAAAAAAAATATCTCTGACTGTCATAAAATCATAGCATCATAGAATGGCTTGGGTAGAAATGGACCCTAAAGGTCATTTAGGGACACCTCCCACTAGACTGTGTTGCTCAAATCTCCATCCAGCTTGGCCTTGAACACTTCCAGGGATGGGACATCCACAGCTTCTCTGAGAAACCTGTTTCACTCCCCTCATGGCCAAAGGCAGCTTGCTCAGCCTGGTCTCTGGTACTTCTGTGCCCTGGCTGCTCATCATCCCAAAAGCACTGGAACAGGGCCACACTCCACTCATCTGTGTCCTTCCTGAACTGGAGAACCAGGGAGGGGAAAAGGGAGGCAAGATGCAGTCACCAAAGTGCCAGTGAAGAGGAAAACATTTTATACACTTTTTTCTCATTTTCTTGTCTTTAAAATTATTCATTGTGCAATTATGAAAATAACTCCTAATGGTGCAGCTAGGAGGGACCTTGATGCTGAAGGCCAGCATTTGGGCTGCCTTCACAACATGACACAAGGAGCCTGTTGGGATTCTTTGCAAATGAGCACCTTCAAAAATAATGACAGCTGAGCTCTAGGACAAACAGGAAATGCTGCACATTGCCAAGAGGTATCTCCTAGGGATAGTTAGGGGGAAGTTATGGGAGGCCACCAATGTTGACTATTCCTGCAGGCATATTACTGGACTAGCTATAGTCCTAATCTAGTTTGACAGCTGAGGTGGGCCCATCTTCATTTCTATCAACCTTTTCTCTCTCAACTTGTGTTTCACACAGATTGTGCTTTCAGAATTTTCATTATGAAGCTTTCCAGCAGAGACTTAAAATTTCCAGTTAATTCAGGAGGCTTTGGATTTCTTCACAAATATTATTCATAAAGCAAAGTCTTTTGCTCTTTATATGAATTACATAAAGCTCAGATTTTTTTGCCCTGCACAGATAAAATCTCTTTTAAGTGGCTCTCTTCACACCCTTAGACATTTTCCTCAGACTCTGAGCTATCTATGACTGTGGAGGAGAAGGAGGGAAATCAGTAAATTTGCTGTCTTAATGATCAGCTACAAGAGGCATGGAAAAACATCGATGTGTACATCTGCTCTGTCTCCTGAAAAGAGCTCAAATGAAGGACTCGGATTTGTGTCTAAGATTGTTCAAATCCCAGAAGCAAAGAATAGCTTTCTTCCTAAATCCACCTGTAAGAATCTCTTAAATGTGTGTTCTGCCTTCAGCATCCCAAAGGAGAGAGTATATCATCCATATATTACTAGTCTATTACTGCTAACTTCCTTTCTCATCCAAACACAACCCCCGTTTGTGAAGGAAAAAAAGCATCTCATAGGAATTAAACTGAAAGAATATTGTCTTCTCTTCCACCTTCTTCTCCCTTGGCTGAAAAGAAATCTAACTGTGACAAAAGTCCTAGATGCTGTTCCCTCTCTCTGCTGGTCAAAGTTATCCTTGTAAATAGGAAGTTGTCAGTCCAATACATTTAACATTTCGTTATGGGTTGTGTTACAATTTTGTGGCTGAGTACCAAAGTTTAGTCTAAGGAAAGCAGAGTAATAATTTTGATTTCACATAAAGGGTAGCATATTGGAAGTATTCTCCCTAGCTAGACTTTGATTTATGACACTGGCAGTGTTATCTTTTCCAGCACTGAGTTATTAGCAAACAGTTAGTGGTTAAAAATGTCCTGAAACCAGACAGCTAAATCCATTCATTAACTATATTTATGTATTTCTGAGACAACTATGTCAAGAGAACCATAGTTTAGTTCCTAGATTGTTTCAGGCAATGCCATTTTCTTAATGAATATGCATCTCCACTTGCTTTGAATGGTAGATTATATCGATGTCTTTCATGCATTTTTCTCACGTGATGGCTTCTAAATTTAAGGGAAATAATTTTTTTTTTTTGTATTTCCTGAAGTTTTGAAGGATGATAATTGTTTTATATGTAGTGCCATAAAACAAGTGCTTAATGCTGTCTTTGCTCATTAATTTAATGATCTTTAGTCCTCAAAATACTTGTCTTGCCAAAGCAATTTCTTTCTCATAATAATGAGGAAGAAGCAACTGAACTATTCCATGAATTCAAGGAAATTCCTAAGTAGGCCTGCTCACCTTCTGAAGGGATGGCAAGACTAGAAGGATAACGCAGGTTCAATTTCCAGCTTAAATGGAAAAGAGGGAAGGAAGCATGGTGCAAATAGCAAAAAGCTGTCAGCAAAGAAGGGAGTTGTGTCTGTGGGGGGTGAGGGATGTACACAGTGCACGGGAAGATAGCTTTTATAGACATGAAGTAGTTACATAATATGATGAAATGCAGAGAGGCAGAGCTCTAGGGCACAATCATTCTCTACTAGCAAAATGCTCATTCATGCAAAAGACATTTCCAAACAACAAATTAACCCAACAGGAATAGAAATTGCAGCTGTAAAGAAAAAAAAATGCCGTACTCAGCATTAAGGTTATTCTGACTGATAACTGTGTGTGTGAGGAATTTTTCTCTTCATCTCCACATTCCATGTCCATTAAACAAAACAAGCAATACAGCTTTAAATGAGGTGCAGGAAAATACTGGGGAGCTATCTCCCTGTAAAATTTTTGTCTTTGTCGTACTTTTAACCTTGTTTCCTAAAGGAGTAATATTTATTGTGGTAGTGCTGGCAGGATGTCCGTTAGCCTGCTCCATGAATGTTCCCTCTCTTTCCAAAAACCTTGGGACCTATTTGCTATTTTTTATCAAATTTGAAGTAAGGTCAGAAGTCTTACAATTCTCTGTAAATTTGTGCACCAAGCAGAAAAAAACTACTCTTCCACAGGACAGGGGACCAGCAGAGCTGGCAGGTTATGCTGGTGCTTGACATAAGTCAATTTAATCATAACATTTTGCGATTTTTATACACGAAATTAAATGCATATTTAATATAATATATCACCTCTGTGTATACTGAGGGCAAGTATGATTTTGAGAGGAGAAGAATGAAGAAACTTCTATTAAGGAGTGATCTTACTGAAGTGTCTAGGGCTGGGTGCTTCTTTTTGAAGCACTTGCATTCATCACTGTTTCCAAGGCCAATAGGAAATCTGGTGCAGGTATATGAACCAACAGGCAGAAATATATGAGGTGGAATGGAGTCGCTAATGTCAATTTGTAATTTGTCAAACATATTTTCAATGACAGAAAAGTACTAGTCTTCAGCAGCACCTCCTACGACATCAAAACAAGTCCCTTCAAAAACTGTTCTAATTGTATTTACTGTCCTTCTTGTTTTCATATGTCAAACAGTGTCTGTTCTTAGCTTCGACTGACTATGTTCAACTTTTTAAATTTTTCCACAAAGCTTTATTGACCATGCTTTTTGATCCCATGTGTTACTCTAATGAATGCTTCAGAGGTTCCGTATAATTTCATATCTTCTCTCATTATCCATCTCATCTGTTGAAGTTCTGAAACCATTTTACAGTAGTTACTTTTATTAATAATTAATTGATTAAATAGTGTATAAAAATTAATCATCTGTGGTAATGCATAGCTATCAAACATGGAAGTTACATATTTCCCATTTTATTTATAAAAATTTTAGCATAAGAAGATGTCAGACATCTAATGAGAATGAGAGGAGAATCTAAAGATTTTATATCCATAAAAGGTACATTCTCTTTTCCAGTATCATCATCTAATGGACTAATTTCCATCTCTTGTTTCTGTGTCAGCATATTCCTTCTTTATCAAATCACGACCGTGTTGTAAAGGCGAAAAACCAAAAAAAGATTTTTCTATGTATAAATCTCATTAAGATGTTTGAGGTTCATAGAAAGCCCTAAGGATTGTCCTGGAAGTTCTTAGGAAAAAAAGTATGAATTCAAGAGAACAACCATATTCATTGTTCATGTTGAATTTAAAAAGAAAATAGCAAACCAGAGTATAGAACAATGGAACAAGCCCATCTCACTACAAAGACCAGTGGAGGTTATAAATATAGCCTGTAATAAGAGCCATAGGTCTAACAACCCAATAAAGTGCTATTGCATATTGTGACTAGAAATGCTTTGTTTTCAATACTACTTTGTCATTTTACTTACATTGCTACTTGTGGAGGGAGCAGAAATAATTTCTGAAGCAGAAACCCTCTCTAAGTCCCTGGAAGGGGTCCCATGGAAGACGATACCTTAAAGATAAGAATTTGCTTGCTTAGAGTGACTAATACCAAGAAGTATTTTGCCCCCCCTTGTAGACCCTGTGTTATCTTTCCGTAATATTAGTGGTCCATTTTCCTCTCGTCTTATTGGGTAATTTCTCCCCTAAAGTCCTTTGTAGACTGGTTAGTTATAGAATTCCCTTGGTAATTAGTGCAAAATGTAAAACCCTTAAACTCTATAAAAGACCCCTTAGAAACCCCACCCATTGGATTTGCTAGACTGGACCCCTTCACAGAAGAAATAAGCTCTGTGGAACTTTCCTGTAGGCACTTCTGGATCTCTGATCTCTGCTGGCTCCAGAGGCACTTTGCGAGCCCAAATTCTCTCCGGGCAAGGCTTGCAAACACACCTTGTCACCAAGAGCTGCCTGAGCAGTTTTGGGGCCTCACAGAGTCTCCCATTACTGGCAACAGCTACTTACTTCATTTCAAACTGAATCTGGTTTCTGTACCCCAATTCTATGCAAAATAAGGGAATTTCATTATTAAATGAGTAAAAGCCTTTATCTCCCTTCCTACAGATTCCTTCAAATTACTCACTTTCTAAATGTTCTGGTAGCCTTTAGTAACATGTCCTGGCTCATAACTGTAATAATCACTGAAATAACATGTGGCGATGCACTAGTTGATGAAAGGTTTGATATTTAAGAATTATTATTATGAAAATTTACACAGAAAGCTGGATGATTTGCAGTACCAGCAGAAGGCTCATCTGCTGTTGTGAGAGAGGGCAAGAAATACCATAGAAGGTTAGTGAAAGATGAAACTGCTGTTTCTATCCAACTTATTGAAAACAATAGATTGCCTCAAGCCAAGAAATCTAAAATTTCTAATACACTAATACTTCTGAACTGCTTGGAGGAGCAGCACCTTAGAGGGTAATTTTTTGTAGGTGAAGTTGTTCATGCATCTGGTAGCACAGATTAAATGTTGATTACAATATGTAGACACTTCTTAACAGAGTTTTAACTTTGCTAATGTGATTTAACCTATTTTTTTCTGAAGGAAAATATTTCAGCATTACTTTGCCATTACTGAAATTCATAGTCCCAAACTGTGCACACTTTTAAAATTATTTTCTCCAGTCATATTCAACTGATTCTCATTAACATGGATATTACATCAGTGAAACAGATTTTACAGTCCTGGAAAACCTCTGTAACAGCAAGAGACCCAGACCAGACTGGCTGAAAATGGGTGTTGGAACATTCCCCCTTCATTTGAGAAGAAGCCAAAAGTCTTAATTTTTTAACATAACCAACTTATATATAGGTTCAAGGGATTAAATAAATTATTGGTGATCGTGACAAATAAACTTCCAAAGCACTATATTTGTTTTCTGATAGTTTACATTTTGCTTTTCTACCATGCAAAATCTTTTCAGTCACCTCTTTTAGCTCTGTAGTTTACGTCATATTTTATAAATGCATTCTGTGCATAATTAAACCAGCACTGAAATTCAAAATCATAATGAATTTAACATTAATTTTGACACTGGCTTGTACAGAGACAAGATTTCATCTGGAGTAAAAGGAGGGACTTCTCAATGATTGAACATGCAGAAAAGAATATTTTGCAGTTCAATCAGATCTCAGGATCTGTTTAGGAGATGCTGAAAGAAATTCAAGAGAATAAATAATAAACTCTGCAGATGTAGCAATTAGTGGTTCTGAGAAGGCCTCTAACTGTTACCATGGTAATATTAATTTTTTTTGGCACTGAACATGATATATTATCATTAATTTTAAATGCCAGTACAAGTCCATTGTGATAGCGTTGGAGTATAATCTGCATTCTTTGACAAGGGTTTGCAATTAACTTACTGAGTGCTTTATTGGAGATCTGGTAATTTTACTGAAGTCTGATCAGTAGGAAGCAAGATGCCACCTTCTAGCATTTCCAGGTTTAGTTCTGTGTGCTCTCTTTTCATCCATGAAATACAGCACAAGTGCCCTGCAACTGCAGTCTGACAGTTCAGAGGAAAAGGAGCAGCCTTTAGTATTGCTCGTGCCTTATCTAAAGGCTGCACACAGGTTATCTACAGACAGCCCTGCCTTAAGGCAAGCCCAGCCCTAACTCAGCAGAAAACAATGTTTTCTGCACAGACCTAAAATACTCCTTATGATTTTGTTGTTGCAGTTTGGGACACACTCTTTCTCACTTCAGTGGGATCAGCATTCCTTGATGAGTCCTGCCTTGATGGACTTTCTTTACGGCATGTTAGGTTCATGTACCAATGATGGTACATGGTTTTCAGAGTTGTTTTGTTTTCTCCTGAAGAGGAACATGGAACAACACATCATAAATAAACACAAACAAGTGCAACAGAGGATATTAACTCTTTTTGGAGGTTATCCACTTCACTGAGTGAGCTTACACAGGCCTAGAGATGGTCAAGTTCTTGAGAGACAGCTACAGAAGGATTGGTGCAGTGATAAAGAGAGCATGTTCAATTTTCCTGATGTGCAGCTGCATTTATGAGTAGATCTTCAGGACCAAATACAGCCACAATTCCCACAAGGACACTTGGTAGAATGAAATTTGAGCAACAATTTGAGAAGTTGGGCTGTTTAATAAACTTCCCTTTAAAAGACGGAGTGTTGCATTTGCCTGGGACCATGACACAAAAAGGCTCAGTATAAATGGCATTTCTAATTACCAGTGAACTTATTTAAAGCTTAATAAACCTTCAAAGTCAGAGTTTGGTGAATTTGGGCTGTTTAATTCTTAAACCTGGATGTTGGCAATTTCTCAGTACTCGTTGATGGCTGCAGCTCCGTGGCAATCTGCCAAACACAAACACTGTGCAAAGCAGTCTCTGAAAGTTCCCTGAGCAGTTGCTTCCAGTTCATTTTCATTTAGTTAGTTTTTTGACATCCACATGTTAGTATTTTCCCTCCCCCCAAAAATGTAGAAATTAATGTGTGGTCTAATGAGGAATAATTATGTTCCACCTAAATTTATTTATCACTTGTATCTGTATCTTTGTTATCCTTTCACCCCATAGGAGTGGAGTTTCAATTTCTATAATACACCTCATATTAATATTTTATCTAATTTAATCTAGGGACAAGTGTATAAGCTTATTATATTTTTTTTTTTACTACAGAGTATTAACATTCAGATTTCATCCAGCTAGGCAGCCAGTTCCTTTTGAATACTTATCTGAGCTGATTAATCCTTCTACATAGATGAGTTGATGGGAAACCTTAGGAATGTTTAGAAAGGTATTTACTTCTGTTACTTTCAGCATTCATAGTTAGTGAAATCACAGTCCCATTAGAATAAGTGTCATTTTATTATTGACTTCGAGATTTTCCTTCACCAGAAGACAGTCCTGAAAAAATGACAGGCTAAGGCAGGCTTCTGTTCTTGACCTGAAGCGTACCTTGTATTAGTAAATAGTAATAAAAAAGGCCTTTCACTGGGAAAACCCCCAATTTGGCCTCTGCTAAGACATGGTAGCAAACTAGCAGTCCTTTCTAATGATAGCAAGATATGAGATCCAATCAGAAGTATTGTTTATGGGAATGTGTGGAAGTATACTCTGAACAGAAATCTTAAGGACTGTAGGAAACAGAAAAAACTAGCTACTGGAGGAAAAGACTGACCTTTTCACTCTTTCTAGGAACGTTGTTTTGAAAATCGAATTTGGTTCTTCCAGCCATCTCTTGCCATTCCCTGAGGGACAGAGACAAGCTTCCAGTGGCTGCACAAATAGTGTCCATCAGGACAAATTGCCCTTTACTCGTCACTCAGTATGGTCATACCATCCCTTTATCCTTTGCTTCACTGCACATATTGGATGTCAGCACTGGCCTTCTGGACAAGGCTGCTAAAAATGCAGTTGAATACAAATCCACAAATTGGGCTGAACTGCCATGATTTGTTGCCAGCCAGGTGACCTGTCCAGTCAAAGCTGGCATCATCCCCTCCTAGAGGATGTACTGGTAGGAATGGCATCAAGGGTCTAGCCAAACAGTATTTAGAAGAACATCAGTAATTTTGTTGCTGGAAGTGTTACACTTTTGGATCATATCATGTTTCAGGGTATTTCAAGTGTGTCATTTATTCTTAGTATTTGAGCCAGTGAAATCATCAACTGTGAATTATTTTATGTGAAGAAATCTGGCAATTTACATCCAAAATTTTAGTTACATGGAGACTGGTATTTCACACAGATACAAAGCAAATGCATGTGTTTCAAGTAGTTTTTTTGTTCTTTTTCTCCAGCCAATAAATTCAGTGTGCTCATACACATATAAATAATCTGCCTGATTCATCAGTAGTACTTTGCTTCAGAATTGTATTGAAGTATTGAAGTCTTTCAGTGGTAAAACGGAATTGGTATCTTCTCACTTATTTGACTGCTGGTTTTTTTACAGGGATTTGCACATTGAGTAAGGTTTTCCAAAGCCAGTGGAAGTAGTCTGAATTTCCTCTTGCACTGTCAGAGTGCAAGTGTTCATTTCTGTGAGAGCAATACGCCATAGAAATTTTTTCTTGTTTCTGCCTTTCACGTTCCTTATCCTAAGGTCAAATGTGGTAAAAGTTTGGTTCTCTCATAGAAACTTGCCTTTCAGAATAATCACTTCTGAAACAAAATTTAAGATTATGAAAGGTTGCAAATGACTAATACTTTCCCATTGAAAGCTTTCTTCATGCAAATGTTTCATATGCCAGTCCAGCATGGGAAAAAAACCAGGGGTTCATAGAAGGGACACAGTCCATAGAACCATAGAATCATGGACCATCCTGAGTTAGAAGGGACTGGATCATCAAAGGATCATCAAAGAACAGCTCCTAGCCCTGCACAGGATACCCAAAGAATACCCGTGCCTGAGAGTGTTGTTCAAACACTTCTTGAACTCTGTCAGATTGGTGCTGTGCCTGCTTCCCTGGGAAGCCTGTTCCAGTGCCCAAACACCTTCTGGGTGAAGAACCTATCCCTGATATCCAATCTAAACCTTCACTTTATGCAATTCCCTTGGGTCCTGCCACTGGTCACCACATAGAAGAGAAGACAATAGTTATGCTATTAGGAAAAAAATCATGTTTGTGGCTTAATTCTATGCCTTGCTTGCTGCATACACGCACACACCTCAGTGGAGTGTAGGTGGTTTTATAAATTCCAGATTGCTTCACTTAAGGCAAATCTGAGATCACCTTTTCTAGCTACTAGCTGATTCAGAAGAAGTTACTCTCTCTTTGACCTTTGTAACCCTCTGGAAGAGTGAATACACCCTTTACAGCTTCCCTGTGTTGCAAAGCTTCTTCGTTTGAGACAGACAATGATATTGCTACTTCTGAAGGAAAAAAATTTTTTTTGTTGTTTTTTTTGTCTTTTAATTACTGGAACAATGAAAGTGTGTTGGCTGCCAGATGACTATGTACACTCACTCTTTAAACCTTTATCTCTGTGGTATTCTCTACTGGGCAAAGCAGTGTCTTTTGCATCTGTGAATACTTATGTGACAATATTATTTGATTTGCACAGCGTCTGTGTCTGGAGTGCATATGTGTATATTTTATATGCATAAATGTGTGCATATACAGAAACATTTGTAATTTCTACTGAAATGTCAACCCTAATTAGCACATATTCAAAAGGAGAAGCATGCATTCCCCTAGAGTTTAAATTCTAATTAAATCTAAAATTTCAGAGTTTTTTCCTTTATTGGAGAAGGAAAATAGCACCTTAGTGATAGGAAAAAGGAACTTTAAGTGTCTACAACATTTCATAGATACCCACAAAACAGAAGTGCTTCCCTTGTGTAAAGAGGCTGCTAACATTTTTAGTTCATGAGGGAGAGTAAAAAGTGGAATGTAAACATTTTATGGTCTTCTTTATCATAATCCTGCTGCTTTATCTTCTATTTACCTTCTAAATCTTGGCATGGATTGCTCAGATGTGCCATTCACAAGCAGTCAATATTTCTTGTTTCTTTATTGATCAGAGTGGCTGGCTTCTGCATTTAGGAAAGTCCTGACATTGATGCTCCCTGCTTGAGGGCTGAGGAAAGATCACAAATAATTGTGTCTACTGATCGGATGCTTCTAATAAGATCATCAGGAGCAAATTGGAACTTCCTTAATAACATCAAGAAAATGGCACATCTCAAGACATTTAAAACAAAAAGTACTTTCATGTGCTACTCAAGATAACTGGGGTCCTACCTCCCATAAATACTCCCTTAAAAGCACAATGTAAATGTGTGACAGAATTTGAGAAAAATAAACAAAGTAAGTGGAGGTGAAGTGCATTTTCTGTGTCGTACAAATGACAGAACTTTCCACTCATACTTCATTGCTATGTGAAATGAAAGTGAAATGTGAAACGGTGTTCTGCAGTTCTCTGCTTAGACAAACCTGCATAATTGATGGGTATCCAGAAAACACAGCATTATTTGGCCTACACTGCATGATTCCTTCAGATAAATAGCATTACACCATCCTCTATTCTAAGTGCAAGAGGATCTTATTCTTTCTTACATATAAAAAACCCCTTCAATACTGTCCATGTCATGACCTATAAAAACATTTCAAATACCAAATTAGATTTTAAAAAATGCATTCCAAATGCCAGTGTTGGCCTCTTTGGGACTATCCTTCCATCAGTATTGATTTATTCAGTAACACACCCAGAAACTAGCTGGATGCATCCTTGAAAAGTTGTATTTTAATACTTTTTATTGTAATGCGGATTACTAATACATTACTTAAAATCCAAGATTTGCTTATTTTCATTTTCACACATTTTAAAAGGTTGCTGAAACTGCATAGAAATAATGTGTGAAATTGCTAAATGAGGCTATTATTTCCTTTTGTTCTATGCTAATGAATTCATTAACAGTTGTTCAGTTATTATCAAGGGTATTCTTTAGTTGTTAGATTAGAAAGATTTTTATCTTATTCTTACTGTGAATCTACTCATTACATATCTGACAAAAAGCAGATGATTTCTCCTGCAGAAAAATAACTCCCAAGCCCCCAAAACGAAACCAGGAAATGTTCTCATGATTTCCTTGACTCTGATGTGGTTTTGTTTAAGCTCTTCAGTTTGCTTTTTGAGATTGTTCAGAATATCACAATGAACTGTGTAAACAACAACAGTAAACAGAGAATGATAATATCAATGCTGTACTTATAATAGGCAGTGTAAACACTAAGAAATGGTTTTCTCAGTTGTATCATTTACCAAATAATTTTTCTAAGCATAGAACAGGGTAGATGCATGTTCTACACTTAAATGTCCATCGACCTTTCCTTTAATGAGGGATAAAAGTGTTTATCTTGTAGAGTAAATTATTTTTTGCTTTTTACAAGTTCTCAACACCCAGCAATGAACATTCTTTAAAAATATAGCCCATTTAATAAAAAAATCTGGAAGTATTTTGAAATGAAGTAATTAATTAGTGGCACCTAATGTCATATATGTTTGTGAACATATTTCAAGTACACCTCACTGTTTTATCTGGTGGTCCTCTACTTCATACCTGTTCTTATTCCCGCTGTCTTTAGATTTAGAACTTCCTTTAGCTCTTTGGAGATAGGAACTTGTTAGGTACATTTAAGGAAGATAGGAAAGCCTTGCTACCAGGTTGAATCTTGTAGTGTTATGAATTATGGATGGCCTTAGTACATGACATGATAGGTGAAATTTATGATACAATTGTCTTAATAGAGAAAAATCATCCTTTCTAGGAGGAAAATTTGAGCATTAGGTGACTGAGAAATGCAAGCAGAAGAGAAATGTCTTACACAATATTGTCTTTGAGACTTTAAAGTCTTTAGGGATGGTGTGGGGTCACAGGTGTGGTTAAAGTACACTGTAGAAAAGCTGTGAGACAATGCCAGCCTGTGGGGTAAGAAAGATTCACATTGCCAGGTTTGCATGTACTCACATTCTTGTAAGCATAAAATCTTCTCTAGACTGCTCTGTGTTCTCTCTATTCCTATTGCACAGCAAAGATGTGTACCCTTAGTTTCTAAATGGGTCAAACACTAAATGGCATAATCATATAAATAACCTCATGCTTGGAAAAAAGAGGAAGGTGAAGTTTTAGTACAGTCATTATCCTTTTGAAGGCTGTGGTGATGTTTAACATGTCTAAAAGTAACCTGGGATAATAGCTAGAGCACTCAGTACATGACAAGGTAAAGCCTCTCTTCTCTGGCAGCAGCAGCAGCTACTTGACTGCATAGATGAGCTAGCTACGCTTGCCTTACTGCAGTTCCAGCCCTTTTCTCTGGTGGTGTTGCTCTTTCCAGTCATTCTGAGATCTTTCATAAGACAAAACAAAGGCTTCTGCCAGCCAGCAAAACAAAAAGTAGCCCCATAATCACACTGCGTGAAGATACCCCATATAAATACACTGGTCACCTCTGCTAGTTACCCACCCCTTCCCACCCTGAGTCCAAAGGGAGTGTTTGAAGATAAGGAGAAGTTTTCTTTCCTGTAGGAAAGTGCTGGGTGTTGTGAAAAGAAGGTTTTTTTTATACATGAATCTCTACCACAAATGGGAGAATCCACCATGAGAGGTGGGTTCAAAAGGTACAAAGTGGTACAGATGTGTTTATTGCCTGCTGCAAGATGAATTGAAATGTATCCAGTAGGAAATATTCAAGCAGTGAGATAAGGAACAGCAAATTTCAGATTTTTGTAGTATGTGACAAGAAATAAAGCTGTTCCTAGAGAACAGCTGCAATGCTGGGATCCTCTGATTAAATAATTTGCCTGAGGCCTAAGGGAGCTGGGAACTATAACCATCATTGACAAATGCCCGCTTTTACAGTCTGTTTTGGCTTTCAGGATTATGTGTCTTCTATAAAAGAGAAGATACCATTCAGATGAAAGTGATGGGCTTAAGGCAGAAATTATGGGTGGAGGCTTCTGTGCTTGTGTTATGTGGGCAGACAGATGAAACAGCCAGAGAGGCCCCTTCTGGCTTAAAGGGCTCCAGGAGCTGAGCATAAAAGATTATGGCTTCCCAAATAAGCTGGGTCAAGTGTGTAGAATAGATCCCGAGGGAGTTTTGAAAGCAGAATGCTGGGGTCTGACAGGCCAGAAAGGGTATCTTTGAAAGAATAAATCAGTGTTGAGCTCGTAACATAAAAACTGTTCTAGGAGAATTCACAAAAAAGTTCCCCGTGCTTTGGGTGTATTTGCTCCAAATTTATATATGCTTTCCAATAAATTTTCAACAATTATGTGATCATAGAGGGTAAATTTTAAACTTCTATGTATAATTGACATTTTATTTTAAACTTGTGTATATTGAAAAAAACCAAAAACATGTGGACCACAAGAGTTCTAAAGACGTTTTCCTCTATGCCAGTTTAGACAGCCAGATAAGTCACACAAGCATCTAGCTTCATTGTGGCTATTAAGACATGAAGAATTACTTTGTATGAAAATGATGAGACAAAATTAAATTTAAAACACTTGGTTAGTCAATAAATTTTGCAATTGTCTTATTTTTCAAGGAATCTTGCCTTAAGCCAGGAGTACAATGGGAGAGACATAGATTTTCTCTTTTTTTGAGTTTCTACTGCCATTTATCAGGGTTTTTTTTTTTTAATTTAAAGGAATCAGCGTTTCATCAGGTTTATAATTACATTTGTCAAGCCATTTGTCTAGTCAAGAGCTAGTAGTATTATTACATCTGCATGAGAAATTGTGATGGGCAGATGCCATATAAAACTGTCAATCTGCAAATTAAAAATAAAAATTAAGATTCTAAGGAATAATATGGGCATTGCTAATGGATATGCTAATGTCACTAATTATTCCCACATATATGCTTTTCTCCGCTGCTGCAAATAACATGAGGAATGTCTTCATAAGGAACTAAAATGTGGTTTGAAAATTGTTCAGTTTCTATGTTTGAATGTGTACTAAGCAAGCTTCATCTATTAAAAATTTCTCTTTAAAGGGGTTTGCCTTTTAAAATTTAAAATCTTATTTTATTAGGTTGCCAGTCTTGATGTGATCCTGTTCTATGGATGTAGACTTACAAGTCCATACCCTATCAGCAGAGACTTCTGACAGAGGAAATCTCCAGGTATGATTTCTTTCTAATGTCTTTACAGGGGCCAAACTTTAATCACTCCTGTGGTAGAAGTCTTTATAATTATCAAACAACATTGCCAAATTCAAGATTTCCAATGATACTGAAATATTAAGAAAAAAAGCATTTGTAAATTTATTTTCAGACATGTAGCCGTAGCTGACAAGGGGATTTTTAGGCTCTGACATCCATCGTATCTTGAAAGGGGTCCACACAAAATTATAAAAAAGTGGGAAAAAATACAGATAAAATGAAAGTGTTGGTTAGTCTCCTTTAGGAGTAGCAACTCAAGGCTTTTCCTGTTTTGTGCCATCTTAATACTAACATGCCTTATTTTTTCTGCAGCACTTTCATATTTTCATGACTACCAAAGATCATAGCAGTAAATTCAAGCTACTAATGCTAGAGAAATCTCATTAAATCCAAGTAACAGTTTATGTTACAGGAGATGTTGTGTCAAAGGAGAGATGACAGGCGATAATCTCTGCCCCTAAACCCCATGTGCACACAGGGACCCTGCTTGTCCATGTGTTGGCCAACATCCCTCCCTTCTTTATGCTTTCTTGTCTATGTCAGAGGTGGGTAAGAGAAAACAGAGTAAGGTAGATATGGAGGAAACAGTGCCTGGGATGGGGGGGAAAATATCTTTCCTGCTACATGCAGGTGTAGAAGAAAACTAGAAGCATTTGGGAGTGGATCTTAAAAGGGAGTGAAACAGCCAGGCCTTGGCATTTGTAATTGCAGGTTCCTTTCAATGTGAAGATAGAAATACAGCATAGGCTACACCACTAACAGGCTGTTGTCATATTGCTCTGGATTACATTTGGAAAAATGTTACCAGCAGATTAGTAAAAATATTGCTCTCAACCTGGTTTCCAAGAGGAGACAGTCTAGCCTAGTGTCACAATTTCAGTGAAATACCAATTTATAACACCCAGTCCAGTAAGACAATAATGGAAATATTTTTGCCTGTTGTAGATGAGTTTGCTTATTGTTAGCCATTTGTAGATTCTTCTGAAATTATTGTTACCTGCAAGTTTTTATCAGTCTTTCCATTTGCTTAGTTTCTGAGGTAAAATGTATGACTTCTTTCATTTTTGCTTCCTTAGTGCTTTGCAAGCACCGGTGTTTGCACACCAGTAGTAATTTTCTTAATGTTTCTTCTTCCTAAGGACCCGTCTCTAACTAAAGAAATTTAAAAAAACAATCTGTTTGAAATTTGATGAGTTTTTATTCCTATTATCTTATTTTGTAGGCACACAAACATTTGTTCAATGTTCAACTGTTGAATGACAATTCATTCGTCTTTTCAGCTATTCCTATTCCTAAATATTAGATCTGTGTTGAAAACTATGCATATTTGTTTTGCCCTGAAACTGCTCACTACTTCTGTTGACTTTACATAAGCCTTTTCTTTTAGGTTGGAAATTTCAAAGCACTTTGAGTGAGTTTTTTAAAGTGCAAAATTATTTAAATTTGTTTCTTTAGTTCTTTTGTCTCACTCGTCTTTTTAAAAAATTCTTTTCAGACTGTGCATTGAAGTTGGAAATTCATGCACATGCTAAGGGAAGCATAAGAAACTGTTTTAAGCTTTCTAACCAAAGTTGCAGTGAGGCATAAGCATTTTGTTGTGCCTTCAGCAGGATTGGATTTCATTCTAAGCACCAGAGACCTCAGAGCACTTTGAAGACTTGCCAGTTTGTCATTAATCCTTGTGTTTCCACCTCATAGTTTTCATATCCTCAGTAACTTTATTATCCCTGTTTCTCCTTCTACATGCCAGGGTCAATAAAATTCATGTGACAAGTACACTTTTTTACCAGCCAGAAATATCATATTGGCTGGGATAATTCCATGAGACTCGGAAATGTTTATGAGATCCCTGTCTCGTGCCTGCTCACACTGCTGGCATGTCTGCTGAGTGAGAAATGCCAGCAACTCTCCCATGGCAATACACTGGGCTGACACTAAACTAGCTGCAGGCTCTTTGGACAGATTGAATAACAGGGTCTTTCTCACGTGGCAAGTGGTAATTTTCCCAGGGACAGGACTGCCACCAATGGAGTCAGATCCACATCATTACTTCAGTGTAGCAATATATGTTCAGCATGACAAGCAGATTTGGGCTCAATGTCTAACTTTTAATTCTGCTTGATTTCCAATTATCAAGATATAGTTAAATTCCACACAACAAAAAGAAAGCACAAGTATTTCCTGATAGATTTGCTCTTCTGCAGATATTTGGCTGGATGATTCTCTCTCCTCTTGTATGTAATACTCGTATGTATTTGAAAAAATATTTATTTTGGGCCATAAGCCTCTGAAGTCAGAGGTTGGATTAGACACCAGCTGATAAAGAGTGTTCCTTTCTGCTTGTCCCTGAAAAACCATGGAATTATAGAATGGTTTGAGTTGGAAGGGCCCTTAAAGATCATCCAGTTCCAATTTGCCTGCCACTGGCAGGACCTTTCACTTGACCAGGTTGCTCAAAGCTCCATCCAACCTGGCCTTGAACACTTCCAGGATGAGCCATCCACAGATTCCCCGGGCATCAGAGAAATGGGGCTGTTACATTCATGGTGACCACTGTCTTCCCCTGGGGAGGGTACCATAAATTCAACATTGCTACTTAGCACACCATCACAGAGAAGGAGCAGATAGGTGTTTGAGGGAGAAAAACCATCATTCAGTGTTTGGAAACATAACTTTTTTTAATCCGAAAAAAATGCCAGAAAAAAAATTTGAAAGAATGTAAATAAATAGGTATTTGTTACAATATGCCATAAAAAAAAAAAAAAGTCTTTGCAGTGAATTAAGAGATTTTATTTTTCCTTGAATTCTGCTTTAATGTAGGCTCTCATAAAAACTGAGTCGGACTTTTACATGGAATTGAGAGGATTATATACTGTATTTAATAACCCCTATCAAATAAAGGTACAAACCTAATTAAGCAATAAATCCATAAAAAATTTTACAGACAGTTAATGAGTAGCTTGCATTTTTATAACAGCAATAGCACATTAAAAAAAAAGCTTTAGCTGTTTTAGTATGGCTAAAGTACTTGTACTGATAAATTAGTCTTTCTGGCATTGCATGACTAATTTTAATCACTTGGAGCTGTGGAGATGTGCTTGGTTTAGAATTTGGGCTATTATTCTTTAATTAAATTTAAAAAAAGTTGATCCAAGTATCTGTCCACATTTATAAAATTATAATTGTAAAAAAAAATATTTAGCGTTTTCCTGTTAAAGATCATGTTCGCAACACCACCAGCATCTTGTGCTCAGAGATAAACAGGATGCCAGCAAGTAGATACTGAAATCACCTAGTTTCTAATTCTAAAAAGTCATAGCAACTTTTTCAACAAGAGTTAAATAAAGAGGTATATTTGTATTGTATCTTAATTTCAGGAATATGACATTAGTTTTGCCCATTTAGTCTGATATGAATAAGCCATGTGGTTGTCTAAATTGACTTGAATTAAAGAAGAGCAAAAGAAGAGCAACAGTTAGGATTTCATCCCCTCCATCTCCTCTTCTCTAATTTAATGACTAGATGAGATAGTTAGCTGTTCTTCTTTCTCTCCTTGTTTGTTTTTTTTATTGTTGCAGGTCACTCACACTGAGCAGAGCCTCCTGCTTATTTCCCTGGCAAGCAGGGAATTGTACATGCTGTAGATAGCAGAGTCCTCATTTCTAGCACTACCCAATCTAATGGTCTTAGGGGAGCTGGAGAGCACTATCTGGGCCCAAAGGGTGGCAGTCAGTTTGGGACCAACGACCTCTTCTGGGGTCGTGAAGGGGATTAGATAAATGAGAGAGGCTGCTGGTAGTTCATAAGGAAGTAGGGAAGGTGGTTGCAGGCAGGCAGAGAATCACAAACTACCCTGGTTATTATCCAGTCTTAAACTAGGGCAGGACTTCAGTATTAAATCACTATTTCGGTTTAAACCAGGAAATGTTAAACCTCTGTATTATTCGTGATCGAATTAAAGTAATATTTCAGATGTTTCTTTATGTTAATTTTATGCCTTTAAACCACTTGATAATGGAATAAAGGGCACCAAGAAATAAATTCAAATGCTTTAAAAAATTAGTTTGTCAGATATCTTATGATATGTCTATTCCTGCAATGCATTTAACAGTGAGGAAGAGCCAGGTGGTGTTTTTATTTCTACCAGAAAAAACTTATGTCCAGCTGGTTTAGTTTGTGATCTTAAATATGTTTACGTGACTTGTGGCTGTTGTAATATGCTTAGTAATATTGCTTCATAGCCCTGCAGCATATTGGAAGTGATGATATAAACCTTCTTATACACATTAATGAATTAAAGTTTAAACCACCATTACCTGACAAAGAACCACTACATCCTTCCTGAAAAATAAAATAATTACTATTTTAAGGCAAAAAAACGATTAAACCCCATGGGCCATTATGCTGGTTTTGGCTGGGGTAGAATTTTCTTCACAGAGGCTAGTTTGGGGCTGTGTTTTGGATTTGTGCTGGAAACAGTATTGATAATTCAGGGATGTTTTTGCTATTGCTGAACAGGGCTTGCACACAGACAAAGTATTTTCTTCTTTTCATATGGCCACGCTGCCAAGGGAGTTGGGATGTGTGGGGAATTGGGAGGATGCACACTGGGACTGCTGACCCCAACTGACCCAAAGGATATTCCATACCATATGGCATCATATTCAGTGTATAAAGTGGGGATGCAGGGGGGACATTCAGAGTTATGACATTTATTTTCCCCAAGTCCACACATCCCATGTAACAGAGCCCTGCTTTCTTGGAGATGGCTGAACACTTGCCTGCCCATGGGAAGCAGTGAATTAATTCCTTGTTTTGTTTTGCTTGTGTGTGTGGCTTTTTATTTCCCTGTTAAACTTGCTTTATCTCAACCCACAAGTTTTAACACTTTTCTAATTCTGATCCCGCTGGTGGGGGAGTGAGTGAGAGGCTATGTGGTACTCAGTTGCTGGCTGGGGTTAAACCACAACAGCCATCTTTAATTATATCTCTTTCGGAACAGAACCCTGCATTTGTTTATGAATGTCATAGGTGAAAAATCAAACTTCTCCAGAAAGGTCACAAAGCTTTCAGAATTTGTTAGTCTCAAAGAAAATCTTGTATAAAAACTAGCTCACATGTAAGATTTCTCATGTGAAGAAGAAAGAACTAAAAAAGTTGAGTCAAGTTTTTCATTCTTAAGGAAAACTAGCTGAAACATTTTATTTTAGAAATGTGTTTTTATATAAATCTCCGTAATAGAATCATATATTTTTTAACAGAGGTCTTTTCCTTTAGGAGATTCTTTCCCTTTCCCACCAAATTTTAGTGTGGTAAAAATTAAAAAGTAATTAAAACTGTGAGTTTTTCTACATTACGTTCTTCTATTCCTTTTTACTTCTATCAAGTGACCCTATTTAAAAGGACAAATGGTGGGAGTGAGCCATCACATAGCCCACACTATTCCCGTGCTTCTGCTGCTGTGGAGGTTGAAGCAGGAAGCTGGAAACTGAAGTTCTTCTCAGAAAAGTGTTGACCACAGGCAGTGCTAAGTTTCATTTTACCTGATTATCAGAAATTATTTTATAGATTATTTATGAGCTATACCCACAAAAAGCGTGGATATGTGCCAGATGTGTTTCTATGTTAAACACCACACTGGGGATAAGGAGGTAGATAGCAGCTTCAAATTGTTTATTTGATCCAGAAAGCTCAGATGGTGCTTGGCTGAGACAGTAAGTTTGCCTACCATCATTTGTGAGGGCCACGGAGAAATTTGCTAAAAGCTGTGTGCAGCTGTGTGACACAACCTTTGGGCAGATGTTCTGAAGAAACTTGGTCTTCTCTTATTTATGCAGGCAGGAACTAATCTGGCAGAAATTCAAATAACTCTACTACTCAATACTTTTTCTTATATTGACTTGTACAGATCATGGTAGCAGATGAAGGATTTCACAGCTTTACCATGCTAATAATGCTGAATTTCATGGTTTGTCAGCTTGTCAAGAATTAACAAGACTGACATTAAATTACTAGAGGGACTGTCATGTAGTAAAAGATGGAAATCTCAATTTTTTTTAAAGATTGTTTTGCATTAGCTTTTCTTTTCTAGAAATCACTGATGTTCTTATTAAAGAGACTCAGTTCATCTCTCACTAACAAAATGTATATGCCATTCACATGTCTCTCAGATATGTTTGAATTCAGGGAACGTCATAGAAAATCAACCATTTCAGGCATGGACAAATCAGACTGTATTTTCTTTATATTCATCCTTGGATAATATTTACCAGGTACAGAGCATTAGTTCATGCATGTGTAAGGAGAATTCAATTATAATTTACATGGAATGTGTAATTTCCTTCATGAAAGCAGTTTTCATAAAACCAAATGTCATTGGTCTTTATTTTGTGCTCAAGAAATTTCTAAGCAGATTTTCCAGTGTGATTTCAGGCTTATTTTCCAGTTTCCCCCCACCTCCATATTATTCCTATCCTCATTGTCACAAGGTTTTTATAAACGCCTGCTCACAGTTGAATGGTCTATGGAAAAATATTTTGTGTATTTCAGTTTTACTACACCTAGTCCATGTCAGTCACTTAAGATCTATATTACAGTGCCATCACATAGATGCTCACTTTTTCAAAACATTGTTTGTTTGGTTTTTTTCTCGGAATAATATACATGTGAAATATTACTCGTATATATACTGAAGAGAGAACTGATATTATAGTAGATCCATTCATAAGCTTTTATGTGTCCTTTTTTATGTGTGTGGATCATAAAGCAAATATATTTATTATGGTCTTTCATTTAATACAATTGTCAAGGTTCTCTAGTTAGTTCTTGTCAAGCTTCTTATACCTCGTCCAAACAGAGCTGCCTTAAAAGACTGTGACACATTCTATTAAAGGTATTGGTCCAAAACCACTTCTGACTCTGAAAGCCTGTCCATACATTTCACAGTCATTTATTGTTGATTATGGAATGTATGCCAGTACATGTATTCACAGCATGGGTGTCAGGCAATACTTCACTTTTGCTGCATGATGGCTAATTCCATGCTTCTTATGGAGAGGTTTGCAAGGTCTGTAAAGGCCTCACAAGAATCTGGGATCCCAAAAAGGAACCTGTACATAATTAGAAGACTTCCCAGGATGTAGACTAAGATAAAGTAAATAATTTGGCATGGGTGGAAGGTGAAATGGATCCTCAGAAGGGGAAATGAGCAACGCAAACGGAACAATTTCACTTCCACAGTTTTGCTTTTCTGTTCTGCATTGTTTTAATTTATGGATTCTCTCACAGGTCTGTACTAGTTTTGTCAGTGAAACAAAGTCCCACGGTCGTGATCTGCCAAGCTGGGCCTTAATTAGTGAGCTGAACTCCTGGACAGTACAGTGCCCAGAAAGCAAGCAAAGGGTTAAATTGTGGATATTCACATGATAGGCTAAAGCCCCTTTCTTGGTATTGTTTACTTCATAGATATGTATGTAGCCAGTTGTCTGCCAAAGCTTTACCCTTTCCATAAAGTCATATTTATCTATAGGATAATGAATCAGACAGAAAATCAATGTGGCATTTCAAATACGGCCTCATTAGTGCCCTTGTTTAGTGTCAAGAATAAATATCCATCATGTTGCTCAGCATTTCTCTTCTCACTTCCTGGAATTCTATTTTCCTTGCCTTATTGCCTTTAAACATTGTGTTGAATTTAATTCTAGCCACTAACCCCATAATCCTTAGCCTGCTCTGTGATTTATAGTTATAGTCTTTGACTGGTTATTTCTTTATTTGTCCTGCAGACCTACTAATTTGCATCTGCTCCTGTGAGTTGTATAAGCTGCTTACTCATCCCACACTCCTGCAGATTTGCTGCAGATTTTGCTCCACTCCCAGAGTCACAAGCAGCAGAGGAAAGAACAGTGCTCTGTACTCATAAGATTGCTTCACCTCCTCACAAAACTTACTATTTCTGTTTACAAATCCACTCTGTCTCTGATCTCCCCAGTCTTGAGTTTCTCTTTTCTTATGCTTCAGAGGTTTTGTGTCATTTACCACTTCTTGCAGTCTAGGAGAACAGAACCATTTCTTTTGAAGTGATTCTGGATTAAAGCAATTCACACCTGTCTCCTCGTCTTTGTCAGTCATCCGTTACCACCCTTCCACTGCTATCTCTGCTCTTCTCAGCCCAGTTGGGTTTTTGGTTTGTTTGTTTCATGGCGATACAGGAGAAGTTCAATAGAGGAACTGATCTGGACTACAAACAACTTCATTTTATTTTATGTGAAGCAAGCCTCATTAGCAGCAGTGCTGCACAGTACTGTTGATGATCTTCTACAGCAATATGAAAGAACTACCAAAATGTTGAGAGCCTTATACCAGAGAGGAAAAGTAGCATTGAAGAATCAGTGCAATAGCATAAACAGGCATTACCATCAGGGAAACGGTCTGCAGAAGTATCATTTGGTATCAATAACCTTCTCTTTAAATTGTTTAAACAACTGTACAAGCTACTTAAGTGTTGCATCACCTGCTTTATACAGATAAGTTTGTAAAAACAGATAATTGAAATTGGCACTTGTATAGAAATTCTTGGATTTTTCAGTTCTGAGTTTCAGGTTGTAATGATTGTTAGCTTAACTTCTTCCTCCATTCTTCCTTCTTTTTTTCCTTTATTTTTACAATATCCAACTTTTTTTCAATCTAAAATTTCGTCTCTTATTTTATAATACATCATCTCGGATTTACAGTAAATCTGCTCCAGGCAGAAAATAAAGGATATTTTTATTAAATCAAATATAAACTTTTATTTTTCTCAGGCTTCTTGCTTTATCCCTTTTTATTTTCCATGTCTTGTCATGTATGGTAAGGTACAATGACTATGGAAACTGTATGCTCTGTACCATACTTGCCTTCAAAATAACTAATAAGAGAAACATATAGACTATCTGAAGTGGAATGTGAAAAGAGATACTATTTAAAGTTTCCTGAATTCCATGGTTTCAAAGCTCCAATTCTTGTGAAACAGTTATTCAGGAGATTAGAAAGCCTGTAGTATCTATTGGAAAAGTAAAAAAAGGTCAATCCTTCATTCTCTCCCCCCCCTTTTTTTTTTTCAGCTGCTTATTCTGTTGCCTTAAAATTTCAGTGAATCAATTCAAGTAGTTTGAACAGGTCTGGAAAATGTATGTGATTGCAACTTTTGTAGGAACATTGTACTACTGTATTTGTGTAACTTCGTATCACTTCTTTTGATTTCTTGTATGAGATGACTTTGTTACTGTGAAAGCACAAAAAACCACAGAAGTTTACCTACTACTCTACCTGTTACTGTATGATAAGGCATTATGCTTGTAACAAAGGTATAGCAAAAATATCAATTGAGGTGACATTTGGAGGAGTAGACACAAAACCAATTCCATAGAAGAGTGTAGAGCTCAAAAGATCTGTCTGGGAAGAAATATC